AGAGGTGGATGATATGATGTATTGAGCGGGGTGACCTTGCTTCCCACACAAGGATACGATATGTTAATCTGCCTTCCTTTGGGCCCGACATGCCTGCTGCTGGGTTTTATAACACGCAGCTGCTCCTCAGTCAGATCCAAGTCTGCTCTTAATGAAAAGTGAAACAAAAAAAACAACTCTTAATTTGATTAGACGGAAAGAGTCAGCGAGAGCGAATCGAAGCCAGGATTCAAGTCCCGCCCACTCCAGCAGAACCAGACCCACTTGAGAGATGACATGACAAACGCCATTTATTTTTCTTTACATCTGTGTGTGTCATTAAGATCAAACATACAGATGATGCGCGAACATGTAGCTGGCTATCAGTGGTGACTGCATGGGTGCTGTAAACTAATATAAACTCTTTGGAACAGGGAATTATGAAAACTGGGACTGGGACTCAGACGTGCGTACCATAGGAAAAGATTACAGCAGGGGTGTCAAACATGAGGCTCGGGGTCCAGAATCAACCCAGCAAAGACTCCAGTTCAGCCTCACTGGACATCGAAAGGAATAAGCTTTGGACTCTAACTGTATTTTTATGCTACACAAAAGTTATTCGATTATAGATTAAAATGTTTTTTTCTATCTGCTATAGAAATGTTTTATATTAAAATATCTGAAGGATCAAATGTGTAGCTAAACTTCTTTAAACTGACACTTAACATCAAAGTGTGCTGCATCTGATCCACGATGTAAGATGAGTCTGACATCCTGGAGTTTAAAGAGGTTCAGCTGTTGGGCCACTTCTGTTTATTTTCATATGCAAACAGACTTTTAACTTTTCATGAGACCCTTCGTTGTCTGCTCTCATCTTATTTGCCAAGTTACATTTGTCAGAAAGGTGTGGGTAGTTATCGTCTTTGGTCCCAAGACTTATTTTGTGCGAACGTTTGCACTAAATTCCAAAAAAAAATGTAAATTTGCAGCCTTAGCTGCTGCATCTTTTTGCGTCTCTCAGCTTTCAGTTTTGTAACTAATAACTGAAAAGCTGGTGGGTTGAGATCAGGAAGCTAACTGGGCCATCAAATCTCATTTCGTTTCCTTGGGAAAGTCTTGAGTTGCTTTTGCAGTTTGCTTTGGGTAATTATCTGCACTGTGAGGCTCTGCCTGATCAGCTTTGGCTGAATCTGAACAGGAAGTTGAGCTCTGCTGCTTCTATCAGCAGTCGGTGATCAATAGGCACCAGTGACCCGGTGCCATTGGCAGCCACACAGTCCAGTGCCATAACACTACCTCCGCCATATGATGTGCTCTGCTTCAGATGATGTTCTCCGTTCTCTTCTTGTTCCATCATTCTGCTATAATTTCATCATAATTTCTTCATCTTTCCAAAGATTTCTTTCATTTTTCCAGAACTCTGCCGACTCTTTAGATGTTTTCTGACTTGCCTGATCTTGAGTCTAATCCATGGTTTGCATGTTGTTGTAAAAGTTTTTTCTTTTCAGTATGAGCTGACTAATGCATTTTATTTTTATTTTTAAGAATTAACCAGTTTGTTGAGTGTGTCACATCTAAAGGTTTCCTGCATCTTTGAGAGACTTAGTTTTGTTCTTTCAGCTTACTAATGGCCTTGTTTTCTTCCACTGATATCTCTTTGGACGTTGGATTCAGAGTTCTGGTGAACACTTGAAACCAGCTCCAGATCTTTAATCTGCTTAATTTGTCATGGAATAATGAGGGACTTGGTCTCGCTTGGCAGTGAAACTGCTTGGCTATTGTCCAATTACTTTTGGTCCTCTAAAAATGGGACTTGTTTATAAAAACGGCTACAATGCCCGAACAGGTAGTGGAGCACTTTGGGTAAATGTCTTGAATGAAAGCTGAAAGTCTGCACTGAGGCAAAATAGGGAAAAAATGTCATTTTCCAAAACCTGGATACATTAATAAATGAACCTGATTTTCAACTGTCTTAAATATTAGCCAAATTAGAGGTAATATGATTAGATAACTGGTCAGAAACTCAGTCACTGGTCAGTCTCCACCAATGGCAGAAACAGATATTTTTACACCCTTGTACAAAAGGTCATTAAATGTTTACATTAAATGTTTGGTCATTACTGATAATTTTACCGTTCGTGGAAACTCGATGCTTGAAATAAAGGGCATGGCCTTAATGGCTGACAGCTGGATGGTGAAGCGGGTGGTTATAGTTGTAGCTGGTCCTGGTACTGTGCTCACAGGCCATCCAAAAGTCTCCAGTTTCTAGGAATTTCAGGAATTAATTTGGAAGTTACTGAGCAGGCCTGTCTGTCTGTGTCCTGCTCCCATGCAATCTATGGATAACTAAGCTAGTTAGTGTTGGCCGAACACTTAGCACTCCACCCTCTCATCCAAATTTGGACACTTTCAACTCCTAAAATGTGATAAAACTGAAACCCAGTTTGATCCCAGGAGAAGACACAAATCCCTTTGGAACACTCAAACCTACCTGCTGGGGTGACAGCAGGTAAAACCAAGTATCGAGTATCAGGTTAAACTGCTACAGCAGCATTAATTCACCAGAATTTGCATTTGATGACATGAAAATGTTTTTTAAACTCTAAAACCCAAAAAATGAAATGTATTAACCCAAGAAACTGTTGACTTCACACACCACTGACAAGCTCAGGAAAACACACACACTCGCGCGCACAGAGTAATTAAAGGTGTAATTATATCATTTACATGAGACTTGGTCTGATGAGCTGCTTCCTTCCTGTTATCAGGAAGTGTTGGTTTAGTCCTTCACAGCACATTTTATTTCTGCCTTCAGTCTAATGAAGTCTGCTCAGTCTACTGGTGCATATTCAATAAGACAGAAACAGGGGAGAAAATTGTTTTTGGTCAATATTGTTGCACTCTGAATTCCCCCGCAGGCGGTTATACCTCTGGAATTTGTTTGTATCGACTGTGTGGAAATTACAGCGGCGGCTAATAAGAAATCAGAGAGCGTGGAGTCAAATTCGTGCGACCTGCGGGGTCACGCCGGTTACAGGGTTTCGAGTCAGAGCAGCGTCTCTTGTCATCTTTCATCTCTCGCTGGGAGTTTGATGTGATTAAATAAGCGGATTGATGCAGGACGAGCTCGGAAGCATCTGAATAAAATCTGCTCGTGTGGCTGATGAGAGAGAAAGTTCCCGAGCTGCTTCTTTGTGTCAGCGTTGGGCTGTCGCTGCACATGTGCTTCATTTTCCTCCTCTCAGCACTTACACTTCACATTGGGAGAAACTCACATGAGTAGAAGACACTTTGTGCGCTGAACTGATAACTGACACAGGGCACGCTGGCCTTGCTCGTACTGGGAGATATTCATCCTGTTCGCATTTCCGGGGTGTCAGATTCTGCTGAGCCATCAAACCTGCTTGTATCTCCACAAGCACAAGGCGTCCTTCGGCATCTGTGCCCAACGAGTCTCGCAGCACCAGCTCGTGACATATAAAGCACCGGTGCATTTAGGTTCAATTTATTCTTTATATATTTTATTATATTTTCAGGTAATAACATCTTTAGATGCTTAATAAAGCTGGCTAGATTCTGGTTTCCGCTTCAATAGCAGATGTCATATGAGTCAGTCAGGTGCTCTTTTAGTTTGACCATCAGGTATTTTTATTCATGCGTTCATGCATCCCTCCACCTTTTCCACCTGTCTACCCTAGCCATCCATCCATCCTTTACCAATTATCAGGTCCCCATTGCAGCAGAGACGTCCTGGGTCTGTCCCAGGACCTCCTCCCAGGAACACTTGACCTAGGAGGCATCCAGGAGGCACTTTAGTCAGATGCCCACGCCACCTCCTTCCTTTTGATGTGGATTGATTTAGTCTGAGATCATTCCACATGACTGAGCTCCACCTTATCTGTGTCACTGCTCGTGTGAACCGTGATGTCAGTGCACCCGATAACTGTTGTTTACTTCTAAACAACAAAACAAACAAACTAAATTTGTTGTGCTGGAATGCGAACAGGTTTCTCCTGCTTATCTGACAGCAGTCTAAGCAGAGACACACAGACTCTTCCTCTTTATCTCCATGGTGCCAATATTCAAATGATCTGTATTGGCTAAAGTGGATGGAAGTGTCGTTCCCTGACTTTAAAGCAGTGCTACCACATGAAATACACAGTCTGGCTTCTCCTTTGCAGTTGTTTGAAGTTAAAGATGCTCGTTAAGATTCATTAAGGAGTCGGAAATGATTTTTAGACCGTTTGGAAGAAATGTGTCCACGTGGAGACGATGACATGGATGAAAGGTTAGCATCCTGATGCAGAGGAAACAGTAGTTGGTTGCCACCTTGCCTAGAGAAAAGAGCAAAGACAAAATTAGTGATCAATATTCCCAGTTTGGGGGTTTTGAAGCGCCGCACCAAAACTCACTGACATTCAAATTGAAAATTCAGCCTGGAGGTTGTAATTTTACCTCCTCTTCATCCTCAGCAGAGCAGAGCGGAGAGGAGCAGATAATCCTGTTTAATTCTGTGTCGTGAGGAGCTTTTTGCCTTTTTAGAAATAATACGTGTGGAGAAAAGAAGCGTGGTAGCGGACCCCAAGGGCAGCTTCTGCTACAGGATGACATCTCTTCTGTGCTTTAAAAATGTCATACGGTACAGCGGGGTTGTAACAGCTGTTCATCATCCTTTATAATGTCTCTCTGAGCTCTGCAGGGTTTTTTTCCCTGTCTATGACCAGAGGGCTCAAACACCTTCCTGTCCTCCTCTGGGATGATGAGAAACAAATAACCTCACCTTGTTTTGAGCTCTAAGTGCATTGTCCTCACTACAGAGGAGAGATGTGTCATTATCCGAGAATTCATCAAAGTTTCATCACAGGTTTGTGGCTTATTGGACAGCAGATGAATGAATGGCTGAAGTTGGAACAAATGGGAGACAAAGTTTCTCTCCAGCGTTTTGAGCCCTCGTAGCTTCAGAAGTCCGGGACGCATCTATGTGAGGTCTGTCTGACTGAGCGGTCTGTTGGTGTCTGTAGGCGTGCTGTGGTTGTCCGTGGTGTCCGAGGTGCTCTACATCCTGCTGCTGGTGGTCGGCTTCAGCCTCATGTGTCTCGAGCTTTTCCACTCCAGCAACGTCATCGACGGACTCAAACTCAACGCCTTCGCTGCCGTTTTCACCGTGCTGTCCGGTAAGATGCAAGTTTCCTTTCCTATTCTTCTTCTTGCGTTTCTTCTTCTTCTTCTGCTTCTTCTTCTTCTGCTTCTTCTTCTGCTTCTTCTTCTGCTTCTTCCTCCTCCGTTCTAATTCTTCTTCTGCTTCCTCTTCCTGCTTTTTCTCTTTTCCCTCATCTAACTCTTTAGTTTTTTGTCTCTTAGTCCCTCTCCTCATTTTTTCTCTTTTTTTATTCTTCACTTCTTCTTCTCTGTTGATTTTCCTGGCAAAAGATAATTCGTGTCCAGTGAAATTTGGCATCAGGAACATCCTTTAAACACCACTGGGCATCATTTACATATATTCTGAGTATTGCTGTGAGAATCAGCAGCAGAGCGGACAGAGCCTGAGGCAGATTTGTGAGGTCGTCCAGGGTCAGAGGTTATCCATGGCAGCCTCGGATGTGGCGGTGCCAGGGATTTTTTCCCCAATTTACGTTAAACCTCTTACACAAGAAGCTGGCGATGCATCCGTCACTCTGCTCCTCTCAGAGGACAGCGGCACATTTTACAGCATTTATGCAGCAAACCTCTGAAGCACGCTCCCTTAATCACTTCATATCACAAGTGACACTTCTGCTCTGAATTATGTAAAAACCTCATGCTCATTCTCCACCAGGGAAAGGTAATTGACATTTTGAAAACTATTACACAGCAGAGATAAAAATCCAGGCCTTCCCTCTGCTCACGTACTCCAAAAACCAGGCGTAGCCAGCGAGGGCCGGATCTGTCTGTGGAGCTGTCAATCACACATCATTAGCTCTGATCATTTACAAAAGACACTTGATGATTTGTTCAGTTTGACCTAAAATAAGCAACAGAGGTCACAGAGAAAAGAAGCCAGGGTCATTTTGCCTCAGACTTTTTACAGCCACAGAGGTCGCCCCCTGGTGGGCACTAAATGGAATGCAGGTTTAAAGCACTTTTACATCGGCTTCACTTTTCAGACCTGCAGCTACATCTAAGGAGACCAACGTGTATACTCCACACCTGAGCCCTGCATTCTCAGGAGCCCAAAACAAACTTCTGCAAAGAGCCCCCACCCCACTGTGAGCCACATAAACTATTTATCACTGCCACAAATTAAGTTTCCCTAAAAAGTTTTCCATTTCTTCGTGCTAAATGCAATACATAATCTCACCAGCAAGTTGTGGCTCTACCCAAAGGCCTACTCGCTGTCTGAGAGCACCCAGGTGGCGTCCTGATTGGATGCCACCTATAGCGGTTGGCCTGAACCCAGCCACCTGATGAGGGCTCCCGCCTGTTTTACCAGGCTCCGCCTTTCCCCTCCCACCCAGCCAACCTTCTTCTTCAACCTTCTTCGTATACAAGGGCCAGCCAATCAGAGGAAGCTGAAAATTTAAACTGTGACTCATGCAAATCTGCTCCAGTGGAGTTCAGGAATACAAATATGGAGTATTAAAAGTGAAGACATCAACAAACAGCTTTGATTTACTAATAAATAAATAAAAAGTAATGGTGGGTGTCTTAAAGCTGATGAATATGGAGCATAAACCCCCCCCCCCCCCCCCCCCCCCCCCCCACACACACACACACACGTGATTGTGATGTATAACGCCTTTGTTAATGTCACATCGACTCGTTTGCGCCGCGGCGTTTTGACTTTGTTGTAATTCTGCTGACTGATTGTGTCGCTCTCTGTAATTGATTGGATGTTTCCGAGCGCGCCCATTGATTCAATTGATTCTGTATAATGACTAATTATGATCATTACATGTGTTCTGATTCATCACTGTTGGGCTGCAGTGATTTACTGTTGTTTTTGCTTTGTGGTAATTATGGTGGCAGACTGTCTCGTGCTGAGGGTTTCTGTTGTTATGTAAGAGCAAGAAAACACACTAATGTGTCTCCAAGCCGTCCTCACAGGGTTTGAACTGACCTGGGACTAAAGAGGACTCATTAAAACAGGAATATTTAATGTGTTAAAGACATTTTGTCTAATGGTGATGCTTAAATGTGTTTATGCGTCCAGAAAAGTTTTTAAAAACTCAATTAGCCCCCCCAGAAAAAGCCTTAGAATAAATCATGCTGTTACTTGATTTACTGATGGATAAATGTGAAGCGCCTGTCTGACCCTCATTTCGTCATTTATAAAGTTCCTGAACATTAAAGTCAAACACTGGACATTAGATTGTTATTTTCTGTCCTTAACAAGAGCACTTTTATGATCATTTAGTCCCCAGTATGGAAGGACGGAGACGGCACTTATGTCACAGGTTTATTATCAGCTTAGAATAAAGTCTGTAGTGTTCATTTGTCTGACTCTGTGGGCAGTGATGCAGCTGACACACAGTCGTTCTCCTGCTCCTGATCCTGTAAAGCTTTAGACACATAACACACTGATCAGTGATCAATCATTGGTCGTGTTGTAATCAATCACAGGGATGGAAAAATGTCTGTCACAGCTGAACTTCAGAGATGAGTATCTGAGTGAAGATGAGGCTGAAATGACTTTGAGACTCTAAAACTGAACTAAAATGTACCTACTGATTGTAATCAGATTACATTTAATGTTGAAATGTGTTTACAGACTGAGATTCAGTCATTAAAAATTAAGGTCTCCACATTTCACCGAAATCAGTCTCAGCGGCTTCACAGAACCAGATCCGCCTGAACGCATGCTTCCTGCTCAAAGGGAGTTTTTCCTCCCCACTGTCACCAAGAGCCTGCTCAGAGGGGGTTGTTACAGCACATGCAGATCAGTTTCATATTATATTTAAGCAACAGTATCAGGCTGCTACCATGGCTGCACAGGGGCACTGACTGTGCTGTACGGTGTGTAAATTTGGCTCCAATATTATGTTTTGATCAGTTTCTGTCTTAAAAGCCCTTTTTAATGGTTTCCATAATGAATTTGTTCGTGTGTGTGTGTGTGTGTGTGTGTGTGTGTGTGTGTGTGTGTGTGTGTGTGTGTGTGTGTGTGTGTGCTGCAGGTCTTCTGGGTATGGTGGCCCACATGATGTACACCCAGGTGTTCCAGATCACAGTCAGTCTGGGTCCTGAAGACTGGAGGCCTCACAGCTGGGACTATGGATGGTCCTTCTGGTCAGTCCACAGCCCCCCACACACATTAACCCCTAACTAGCGTCACCCCAACATTAAACCTGTGTCCATAATAACGTTTAATGACTGTCTGTCAAAGATGTTAAAGTTCTTCATGTTATGGCTGCCAAATATTTGATATGAAGAATGGAATGTGTCTGACAGGCCACAGAGTCCATATTTATGTAAGAATTCAACAAAATGACACATAGATGTTCACAGACAGACGCATCACGTCTCCAAATACCTCGTTGTAATGACTGTTGGTGGAGGTGTGCAGCAGCCTGTCAGCAGGTGGTCTGCAGGTACGCAGGGAGCTGCTGTTAATAATTGTCTTTGCTCTCTGCTGAAAGCTGAGCTGCAGCTGCTGAGTTCCAACAAAGTCCTTTTTTGAACAGAGAGAAGAAGCGACTGTGCCTTTATAAAGAGGTGCATAAGTGATACAGATGAGCAGAAATAAAGAAGCACAAACATGGATTTCATCCAAACACGAGTAAAGCAGGACAGAAGGAGGGAAACACCTGGAACGAGAACACCTGCTCCTGTTAATAGAAAGATTTTCAGTGTTAGTCATTTAAGCGAAAGCCTCCATTTACCACCACGAGGGAGCCATTCAGGATCGTTAAAGTGGAAAGGAGGATTAACCTCTGCTGGAACAGAAGGCCAAAACGCTCCTTCAGGATGAATGAAACGATGATGGACGCTTGATGTGCACTCAAACTTTCTGCTTAAAGCTCCACTGAAAGCAATAACCTTAATTTGATTTTAGCACGAGCAGTGTTATAGAAATAAGAGAAAACGCTTAATATGAAGACGGGAAAAAAACACAAACAAAGCAGCTCTTCATCTGCTGGCAGGAGGTCGCTGGCAGGTTTTCTAGCTCTGTGCTTTTAGAACAGTTTGTGCTGAAGACACAGAAAAGGCCGAGTGTTTTTTCACGGGGAAACAACCTCTGTGTCACGTTCAGACAAACTCATCAGGACTGAGCGTAACCCCTGTTACGCCTCTACTGTGAGGATCTTCTTTATGCTTTGCAGTAAGAGGAGTCTGTTTCATTTATGTTGTTAAAGACATTATAGTCCAAATTATTTTGGATATTTTTTAATAACCCCACCACATCTACCTCTGGTTCTTTGGTTTTCATTTTAATCATATTTAAAGACAAAGAAAAATCCCCTGAGAAAAGGCAGCGGAGCTTGTGGAGGTACGGTGTGTGGCTGACGGAGCAGACATGCTCAGGAGGGATTTGGTGAGAAACAAAACTCAGGGAGGCAGTAAAAACTGCAGTTCCTCTAGTGCCCAGCAGGGGCTTTAGGAGCAAGTCCCCATAGACTCCCATGTTAAAATGTCCAACTACAGCGAAACAAACATGTTTACAGTCTGATTTAAAACAAAAAAACAAACACAGACACACACACAAAACAAAAACAAAATTGTTGAGGCTTAAAGTTGGGGGCGTGGGCTTTTTGACTGACAGGTGCTAGCTGGATGTAAAGCGATGTCCTTTTAAAACGCTTAAAAATAAACGTCTGGTGCTTGGTGTGAAAATTCAATTTAGTTTCAGTTAGTTTCTACAGAGGTTTCAAATTCATTTTTATTAGTTCAGTGTTAGTTTTAGTCTTTTTAATGATTACTGTGTTTGGAGGACATATGCCAAATATTCATTTTATACTTAATAAACATATCAAAGATTTGTCAGACTGTAATATTAAATGTTAACGAACTAAAACGTTGACTATAATAAGCTTGTAGCTCCAACAGTAATCGGGTGTAAAACTGAAATGTAATCAGTAAACAAAAGAAATAAAGAAACGGTGTCATCGACTGAGGGTAATTTATATGTTTTACGTTGCGGTGACTTGTTATATGCTTCACTGCGGTGCTATACGTGAAGATTTATTGCTGTAATTTCATATTGTTTATTTGGTTTTGCCTTTAAACAGTTTCTCTGCTTCCTCTGAGGAACAGTAATGGTTCAGTTATAAACATAATCCTACAAAAGAGAAGGAAAAGTGATTGAGTTTATAGTGTATTATCCAAATTACATCACACTATGGATTCCTGTTGTCCCAAGATAAAAAGTGATGGATTTTATGCGTCATTTTGTTTTATCTCGTGGTTTTCTTGCTCAGCGTGTTTAAAGACCTCTGCCTGTTTTTTTTTTTTGTGCTGTAGAGCATTTATTTCCCACACTGTTTGCTCAACATTAGGCTCTCCAGAGTCACCACACACTCTGAGGTAGCTGAGCATCGATCATCGTCCTGCTAACATTTGAAGGAATGAAGATGAAAAACTCAGAATTACATTTCGCGGTCGATTTGGGAACACATCGGTGTTCCCCAGCAGACCTAGAGGCTGGGGGACTGAGCTTTGATGATCAAACGATGCCCTTATTTGTTTGTGCTGAATCGAAAGATTATTTTATTTTAAATAGGAGCAAAAAAATCTATAAGTGTGCAAGTTCTCAGTCATTCGGTTCATGGTAGTTTGTGTTGGTAGAAGGTGAAGATGTTTCACCTCTCATCCAAGACGATTCTTTAGACACAAAAGGTCAAGGGTTCCTATCGACTCCTAGTGGGCGTTGTTTCTGTCTATGTGGTCCAGATGATGGTTGGCCCACTCCTGACTATGCGAGTCGTCACATAACCCACGGTTTGAAAAGGGGTGTGGGTAGTTACCGTCACTGGAGGTTAAGGGTAAAACCACAGGCCCAATCTATGTGACCTACATAAGTCCCGTTGCCTTCTTCTTTCAAGCTTTCAAAATTCTAATTACATTGTTCCAAAGATATATTTCATACTTATTGATTTCTTCTCTCTTATTCCACTCAGCATGGCGTGGGGATCCTTCACCTGCTGCATGGCCGCCTCCGTCACCACCCTCAACTCCTACACCAAGACTGTGATCGAGTTCAGACACAAGCGGAAGCTCTTCGAGCAGGGCCTGCGTGAGGAGCAGAACTACCTGGACCAGGAAGCTTTCCACTACTTCCGGGACCGTTCACTCCAGTCCATCTCCAGCACCGTGGAGGTCTACCCCGGCCACAGCGGCACCAGAGCCGGGCTTGTTGTCGGGGGGCCCGGTGCGGGCCCCGGTCCAGGTCCCGGACCGGGACGCGGGAAGATGAGAGCGGGGTCTGCCTCAATAGACTTGGGGGAGAACACGGACTCACTGGGGGAGGAGCAGTGCTGAGTCACACATTGGAATGAGGGGATTGACTGGGTTGTGGGCGTGGCTACACGATGAGGTGAACTGCACCTTCACATGTGGACCCGGCCGCTAGTTTGTCCACTGTAACTGAAAGCAGAGGCAGAACTTATTTTCTGTTTTAAGAGGACAACTAAAAGGCAGATTAAACATGGATTACAAAAAGAAAATACAAATGTTCTTGCTGTGTGTGAAGTGAAAGTCAGTGTAAAGTGTGAGAAATAGACTGTGGGTGAAAGTAGGCGTTCTCCTGCTTATTTTGAGGTGCTGTGTGTAGTATTTTAACATCAATACATCGTCACAGTTTTGAAAAATGGTGAAAGCCTTTGCTGAATAGCGACCCTTGTAGCAAGAAGCGGAAATTACTGTGGCCCTGAAGTCCAAAACACAGAAGTATTTCAGAAAATACAAGAATGTTTTCATTAAGGTTTCTTCTTTGTTACCAGCAAACACCCTTGAACATCCTTCTTGGACTTTCTGGCAAACACAATTATGTGTCCGCCAACTGTTTAATATTATCCATGTAAAATAAAATAAAATAAAAAATATATATTTATTTATTTATTTATTAAATAAAAGATTCTTGGGAGGAATTAAAGAATTACATTAAAATTATAATAATTAAAAAAACATCATGAATAATTTATTAATCATTTATATCAAATTAATTAAGAATCAAATGTAATTGTGTTTAAAACTAGATTTCTGATTACGCCGCATCCCTCCTGAAGGAGATGGTCAAACATGACTGTTCGTGGAACTTTTTTTTTTAAAAAAAATCCAAGAAAAATGAATATTATCAAACTGTTGCTATGAAATGTATGAACAGCTGCATACCCTGTTATTGGACTATACACAGTATAAACGTTATTTGTGGTTTGTTCAGCAGTAACGATAATTTATTCACAGTTAATTTTTGTGTGTGTATGTGTGTGTTTTGCACCTCAGGGCCACCGTAGAGGAACATCAATATCTAATTTAGCTAACATTAGCCACATATGCTACTTGTCATATCAGACCGAGTTGTACTGCTGACGTGCTCGAGCATGTTTGTCCCCCGAGTCCACTTCGATGGAGTGCGATCGCTTTGCAGTTGGGATGGTCGTGATTTTTAAATATTCAAATAGTCATTAAAATATTTTAAAAAACGCAAATATGTTACACAACTTTCTTGTCTTAAAATTGTTTTCAACAGACACAACTGATGCAGTTTTAGAATAATTACTACTCATTATTTGTTACATTTTTTTAAAAATGTAACAAATATGTTACTTAATTACTGATTTCTTATCACTTTCTTTGTTGTGGGTGCTGGGCTGTGAACACACTTTACACCACAGGCAGTATAAAGATGAACGTAGTTACTGTGACACCACCTGTTGGTTTTTGAAGACAGAGAGGAGGTATTCCTAATACAGAAGCCCCGCCCACCTGTTGTTCAAATCTTCTTTTTTTGGTTTAAAAGTTTGTTTCAGATCTATGATGGGCGGGGCTGAGTCATGCAAAGCTGCTGTAGTAGGGTCCAATGAGCAGAAACAGCCACGCTAAATATGCAAAACATAATATTTTGAGTTCACTCCTTCCTGCGTTAACAGATGATAAATCATTAAACTACATCATCCCAGCCACATTTATTTGGCCCAGTAGTGAACAAGCCTGCAGTAGACATGCTATTAGATTAACACACTGGCTTTTGTAGCTCATGTGAACTCTCGATTTTCCAGGTCAAATCAGTCCCTGGAGAATCTCCCGGGCAAGCAAGACTGCCAACCGATCAAGCATGCTCCAAGACATGCTTCTTTGTGAGCCTCGGTATCTCTTATCTGATGTAGTCTGCAGAAAGATGAGGCGAAGTTTAGCGAGAGAGAAACACAGAAACTGTGGGAAATCAAGAAAAGCTGGCCTCAGGACAGGAAGCAACAGAAATTATGATTATTTTTGGCCTGAGTCAGATTAAAATGAAATACCACACGTTGCACTTTTACAGGTCGTGTTCAGGCCACATCCTGTTGCTGATGCTGAATGTGGGGCTGGTGTTTAAACTAAAATCTTGAGCGCTGAGGGTTCAGTCCAGTCTTCTCTTTCATTTCTTTGCCTCCATCAACCACCAGCATCCAGGACTGACAAAAGAAGCCACTGAAGAAGACCTGCAGTTTCTTGAGTCAGTGTTTGCAGATACATATGTTAAAATCTCCAACTTTACTGCAGTAATGCACATGTAACCCAGGCTTTAGGCTGATAAATTAGTCCTCCACCATCTGATCCAAATGCGGCAACTTCTGGTCCCCAAAACAGTCCACGAGTTGCCGACATTCACCTTTTTTCGATACACATGATTTAAAAAAAAAAGGTGCTTTATTTTACTTGTGTGAATGAATGCACTCTATTATTTTTACTAATTACATTTATTTTTCCAAAGAAATTCTCAGTTGAATGTTAACATGTTAAATTTCACTAGGAAACACTTTATGGATAAAGATCTACTGGGTAAAAGAAGCAAGGAAACACGATGAAAACACCTCGGTACACATAAAACTGTAATATTGGAAAATTGTGCATAAAATATCAAAAGTAACAATGTTTCTTCTGCAGAATAATGTCCATAAATTAAAGGTAGAGTGTTGATAAAACAGCTGGATAAACATTTTAGATTCAGTCATTTGCACGGATGCTAATCCGAGACTGCATCCGCTCAACTTGCCTGTTTTATAGACATGGTGAGCGCTACCGTCCTTCATCATCATCACAGCTTTCCTAACTAATGAATGTATCAAAGGAGTTATTAACAACTTTTTAAACTCCATCTTCCCTACATCACAAAAGTTAGCCAAGGTGGTTAGCAAGAAGCTCGTTTACCTGCTAATGCTAGCTGTGTGTCCATACAGCACGATCTGATATCGTCGTGTTGGTGTTGTTCCCAGATCAACATAGTAAATGTTGTTCCAGGATCAACATTGCAAGTGACCAATCAGAATGTTGTGATGTCATACTTTTGCGACTTCGGGAAAAACCGCCGTAAAACAAAAAACTGCAGTTAAGCTGCGAGAAAGCTCCTCTGTCCGCCGATCAATGGACCCTCACCCTAACCCTAACCGTAACCCTTTAATAAACGGTAAGCAGAACTGATATTGTCCTTGCAACATTGGAATTTCATAAATGCACACATGGCTTGGCGCGCCAAATAATAACGTCACAACAATGTGATTGGTCACTTGCAATGTTGAACCTGGAACAACATTTTCATGATGATCTGGGAACAACACCAACACGACGATATCAGATCATCCATACATACAAAGTGCAGGTGGTTACTGATCTCAGAGCAGTAACAGCTGAGCCAGAGGCAGTTTGCTCTCCCATCAGTTTACAGTAAAAACCAGCAATGTGCAAACCACAAAAAGCTGCTGGAGACCAGTCCAATCACCACTGAGACAGATCAGTTGGTGGAACTACTCAGTGCAATCACCAAGCAGCCGTGATTTTTCAGAGTTCAAAGTAAGTTAGCGTCCTATTTTTAATAAGTGTAACTGACCCATAATACACATACCATACATAAAAAGTGCTGATAAAGGCTGTGGAGACCTTACCTGTTTCCTTCAACGTGTGTCTGACTGGGAGGTTAATAATCTCTCTCTCTCTGGGACTCCATTTATCCTGATTTAACCCGCTCAGCTAATCCTCCCTCTCTGCATGTCTGCCGGCCATCACGCTCCACAGAGTCCATTCATCACATCAGATGTTATGGATCAAAGCGAGTCTAATCAACACGTCTGTAAGATGTGGGCAGGAGAGAAATCCATAAATGCAGGTCGGCGTGGCGGAACAAATCAAAACAGTTCAGGTAATAATGCTAATTAGTTTTTAAAATTGGAACTCGGGATTTCATGCACTCGGATTAGTAAATTTGCCCTCATATTATTTAATTTTCTCCCTTGAATGAATCATTAGAGTGCACATGAACAGTCTGTGTAAAGAGATATTAAAAGACTTATAACAGCTGAAGGTCTAAAAAACAGATTTTAATGTCAGTCAGTGAATTAAACAATGGAGATAAAATTCATTGATTTAAAACAAATTCAATATAAATGATACATTGTACTTAATATTTAATTAAAAGATGATATAAATATTTAAGTAAATACATTCAATGCTAATGTTTTTTTTTAACAGACACCGGTGTACAGAGGACTCACGACCTTCCACAAACCGACCGTTTTCAGTCAGGCAGCTTTAGACGTTCTGTTTGGATTACGTTGGCCCCAAAATCTCAGCCAAAACAATCCTCGCTGTTTCCAATCCATGCGCTTACATAAAACACCCACTGGGCATCTTCAGGCAGCGCTACACTGTTAGTGACTGTTCTCGTCTGTTCAGGTGACTAACAGATTATTTGTTTTTTTCTCAGTTTTCTTATCTTGGTTGAGTCATTTCATCAGATTGTTACATTACACATATACCAATAAAATCCAGAGACTGTATAAAGAAGATGGACAGAGCCACCGTGATGTCATGATGTCTGTGGGGAAATTCCTGAAGGCCAGAAAGAGATTTATGGTCCTACGGAAGTCTGCGGTTAGAGGGCAGCTCTGGTTCTCTGTGACATGACTTTATGGGCTGAATCCCAGGTCTCAGAACAAACTGAATAAAACATGAACTAATATCAGAAAATCATCACGGAATATGGAGCTGCCAGACAGGAGGAAAAGAGTGAAGATTCATAGATGTAGTCAAGGAGGACATGGAGAAGATTGGTGTGGCAGAGGAGGATGCTGGGATACTTCTTCACTTCTCAGTAGTACATGGGGGGTGTGATAGGCTCGGGAGCCGCCACCAGTACCCTCCTAGGCTTTCCTCAATTTATGTTCAAGCCATTCACCTTTATCTACTAAAAAAACACTGTCAACCCTAAACCCTGTTGGTAATTGACGTCATCATGCGACGATCAGTTGACCCAGCTGACATCGGTGTGCCCTGGCACGAAGCGCGGAATCTCACTGACTTGGACTTCGCAGATGACGTCGCCCTGCCGGGCTCGACTCAGGAAGATCTCCAAAGGTTGACCGCGGCCCTGCAGAGGGAGGCGGCGAAAGTTGGATTAAGAATCAGCGCCAAAAAAACCAAGGTACTCCGAGTTGGCTCTGCACATGCCCGCATTCCTGTCATGATCAACCAACAACGTGCTGAAGAGGTGGAGAATTTTACATATCTTGGCAGCATCATCTCGAATGACGGGGTCTCTGATCGGGATGTCGACGCCAGAGTAGGGAAGGCAGTTGGTGTCCTGCGACGTCTCCAGCCTATTTGGAACTCGACCTCCCTGAATGTAAGGGTCAAGATCAGACTACTGAACTCTATCGTCTTCCCTACTGCACTTTACGCTAGTGAAACCTGGCACTCAACAAGTGCAATTATTCAACACCTGAACGTGCTTCAACAACGTGGCCTGCGGCGAATCCTGAGAATTTCCTACCGGGACCGAATAACAAATGAGGAGGTCCTACGAAGAGCAGGCACCCGCCCATTAGTTGCAGAAAGGCGCTTCTGCTTTGCGGGCCATATTTTATGCCTACCCCCTCATCGCCCAGCTAAGATTGCCATGACATGGCGTCCACGCACTGGCAAGCGAAAGCAAGGCCAACCAAAGACCACATGGCGTCGAACATTCATGGACGATCTGAGAACTGTCGACATTGCCTGGGACGAAGCTGAAGCAGTCGCTGCTGACCGACATCGATGGAGATCACTAGCTGCCCGATGCGCCGCCCGGCGTAGGAGGAACTAAGTCTAAGACTAACCCTAAAATGAAGACGTGGGCACAGCTAGTGAATCACAAGTTGTGGGGAAAAATGTGGCTGGTGAGTGGTTTCTGGCTGTCATGGGTGAAAACATTGGGTGGTTATAAAGAGTGTGCTGCACCAATCCGGTCTTCAAGTCTGACGTCATTAGCCGTGCCTGGGCCCAAACACTGCTGCAGGTCCCTGAGTCAAATAATCACTGCAGCATTACCGAGAGTTGAAAAACTGTCTGAATTCTTTCATCTGTAATCATGGGTATCCTTCACTCTCATTGGTAGCTGCTTCAGTCCTCACCTAAAGTTTACAAAAGTTTATTTCACCCATAGTCGCTTATCAGGCTTTATGATTGGATGATGTATTTTGAGATATAGGCCATTTCAAACAGCAGCATCATCTAAAAAAAATTAGATTTAATAAACTGCTGACAACTCGGCTGCCCAGCGACCATTACTGAGAGGAAAACATCCAGTGATATATAATCTCACCGACACACTGATAGAATCATGGAGCTACCCACACAGTCAAAATATTTAAACATTTACTCACTTTTTTATTAAAAATGTCTAAAACCTTGGAAGCATTTTATTTGCTGGAGTCTTACGGATGCTTAGTTTCTGCCTCCTGGATAAAAGGAAAGTTATTAAACTTCTGTTCTGCTGTGTGTCTCCTCTTCTTCCTCAGTGGGAATCTGCTGCTGCTGAGCTGTTTTCTTAAAATGGTTGTTTGGTTCAGCTAATTAACTAAATTGGCTAATTAAGATTTTTAAACTCTGCACAGCTTTACTCTCAGAAAAACATCCAGTCTCATTCACCCAAACATTGCATGAATGCAGCAAACATAGCTGTTAATAAAAGGTGTGCCTGCTGGAACAGGCGGTCTGTGAAACCAGCAGGTACTTCTATAATCAATAGTGTGGCGTAATCAATACTGCTCAGTGCAATCACCTGTTTCTGACATCTTCACCACTCAGAGACATGCAGAAAATAATAAGGAGGAGACAAGCGCTTCATTTCCAAACCGTCACTTCAACAATGGAGCTGTGA